TCCTCTTTATTTACATCCTTGTTTATATGCATGCTTATATATTCTTTGTTGAAGTCACACAGCTACATATCTATGTGTGTACTGTTTGATTCTTAGAAGAGTTTGTTAGGAGCATGAGTTTCATCTCTGATTGCACCATGTTATACTGTTGTGTTCTTGGCCCATCTGGTTGCAAAAGAAAACCATACAAACAGATGTAGAAACCAGTTTCCTCCTCTGGAAAACAATTCAAAAGCTACAAGCCCATCAAATGCTGAGAACTGTCTAGCTATGGCATGGTACAGTAGCCATCATTAAGGTTTTTATCTTAAGATTGATACAGACACAGGTTAATTTCTCAGTTCTGTTTTTGTTTTAGCTTGGAATAACTGTTTATTTAGATGAGTACTTTGTTCATCATTATGTTGGTTTTCTAACCAAGGCGATAGTTCTATTTTGTAATCTCACATACCACCCAGCTACCATGGCCTGACTTCAGTGAAAGTATTTTCCCAGCAGAGATTCAGTGAAATCATTCTCTGAGAATTTGAGTGAATAAACTGTACTTAGTGTTAAACCACAATTGGTTATGCGTATTTCTTGCCAAAACTAAAAGGTATAAATTCTGAATGTTTTTTTCATAAGGACAGTTTCAGGTTCTTTCAAGTGTAATGATTTTGACATTGTGTTTAAGAAGAATTTTCATGCTAATTGAAGTCTCCTATGTAAAAGGAAAAAGTCAAGTTCTTAACGTACACAGTTTTGTTTAAGGCATTAAATGCAATGAAAAAGAACCTTCTAGAATATTCTTTGTAGAGATTCTGTTGTGATTATTGCAGAGCTCCATCTGTAGATTCAACAGATTTATTGAGTACCAGGTAAGCACTATTAAAGGCATTGGGTATGCTTAGTAAGGAAAGCCATGTCCTTGACTTCATGAAGCATATGGTCTCCTGGCGGGGCAATAGACAATAAAGAACTAAATAAATAGCAATTTAGAGAAGTATCAGGGAGACAAAGGACACAGTTCAGTGACAGAGAATAAAAAGAGGTGACCTAATTCACAGGGTGATTAGTGAAGGTTTTTTGGAAAAGACAGATTTTAAGCCAAAACTTAGATAAAAAGGAGTTGAGCATGAAAACAGCTCAAGGCAGTTTTGTAGGCAGAAAGCAGCAAGGCATAAAGAAGCTTGGGTGTTTCCAGAACTGAAAGGAGATAAGAGTGGTTAAGTATGTATGTGTCTGGTATGGGGAGGGATGGGGAGAAGGTGGCATGAAATTAGGTTAGAGAGGTAAACAGGTGCCAGATGATTCAGAGCCTTATTGGCCATGGTAAGACTCTGAATTTTGGCCGGGCGCGGTGGCTCAAGCCTGTAATCCCAGCACTTTGGGAGGCCGAGATGGGTGGATCACAAGGTCAGGAGATCGAGACCATCCTGGCTAACCCGGTGAAACCCCGTCTCTACTAAAAAATACAAAAAACTAGCTGGGCGAGGTGGCGGGAGGCTGGGGCAGGAGAATGGCGGGAACCCGGGAGGCGGAGCTTGCAGTGAGCTGAGATCTGGCCACTGCACTCCAGCCTGGGTGACAGAGCGAGACCCCGTCTCAAAAAAAAAAAAAAAAAAAGACTCTGGATTTTGAAATAAGTACAGTGGGAAGCCAACAGCATTTTCAAATGTTGAGAGTCCTTATCTGATTTGAATTTTTAAAAGCTCACTTTGGCTGCGTTTTGGAGAATGAAATATGTGTGAGCATGTACCTGTGTGTTTGCGTTTATGGCTAAAAATGGAAGCAGTGAGACTCCTCGGAAGGCTATTAGAATCATCTCCTCAAAAGATAATCGTGGACTGCACCATAAGGTGGCAATAGAGATGAAGCCAAAAGGAAGGATTTGAACTATTTTTAGAGGCATTCTGAATTTACTGATTGATTTGATATCCGGGGTGAGGAAGAGTCAGGAGTCAAATGATTAGTGTTCTATATACTTATCTTTGAAACTGGGTGTACCATGTTGTCATTTACTAAGGTCAGGTTTGGGGGAAGATCACATTTCAGAGGGAGATCGTGTTCACTTTCAGACACTTAGCATGAAACCTATTGCAAAATTGATTACTTCATCAAACATTGATTGAGCTTCACTGCATGCCAGACATTCTACTGAGTAGTAAGGATATCTGATGTCCCTACACTTATGGAATTACAGAGATGATAGATTTCAGAGTGCTAGAAGAGACCATAGTTGGAAATAATCCAGTCCAGCATCCTCATTTTAAAGATGAAGTGTAGAATTTTAATCATTTTATTTTTCCAGAAATATTAAGACCTCTGTAAAAATTGTGGTTATTTTAGTAAAACTTAATTTTCCTCATCCAACAATAGTTGTGGCATTTTTTTCCCTTAGGAGTATAAGTCTGTTTTCATTTCTGTTTTAATGAATTGTTATAATTAGTCTTCAGTTAGCATTAGTAAAGCACTTTCTGATGCATTCTGAAATCATAAAAGTATAGGCATTTTAGTCAGTTCAGTGGGCAATATAGTCATTGACTTCAGTCAGACTTATAAACAATATATGCAAAAGGAATCAGAAACCATGTTCTAGTGTACACACATTTCTCACTAAGGCATTAATGTACACAAAAGGGAAATTATCTACTTGTATTTTTTATATTATCAATGGTAGGTTGCTAATAACCTTGAAGCATGTTAGAGGGAATTTTTCAAACTTAATAGAAAGCATGAATTTGAGAGGAAAGAAAAAAATACATAAGGGCCCTAAATAATTTGTTGTGCAATGAATTCTAGATTTGTGTGTGCATGTTTGTGGGATGCGTGTGTGTGTGTGTGTTGGAATGTTTGTTTTAAGGTCCCATTTAACTTTATAAGTTAAGGTGTTTGGTCAAAGAATAAGTAGGCAGTGATGAAACAGCAAGTTGTGTAGATTTAAAGTTTAAATACCAGGAGATGAAAAAGATTATTTAGGGTGGTCTAACTAAGCATACTTACTATCTAAATTACAGCATTAATTGTTCATTTAGAATGGAGTTCTTGGCTCGTCATAGTAGGTCAGATACTGTGAAGGAAAGGAGATGAAAGTTCCTGCCCTGCGGGCATAGCCAATTGGAAGCATCAGGTATGGTCCAGTCTGCACACACATGGGCACACACCTGAGGGGAGAATGTTTTCTCCAATAAGTGGTTATGGTCATGGAATGCCCCATAGGGCAAAGGAGGTGTCCAGATGTATTGTAGAGACAGGGGCCTTTTTTTTAAGAAAGGAAAAAAGTGCATATTGAATGAGACAGATAATAGTCAAGTGACTTCCTTGAAGTTTAAAAGTAGTTTAAGAGGTGAAGATTAAGGTAAGCATAGCGATAGATTGAAATATATGCCAATGAAAGAGGCAAATCTTCTGCAAAGATGGTTGAAGTTATTAAAATAGGTAATTAGAACGAAGGTTCTGCTTCATCCCTGCAACAGGAATGGCAGGACTAAATTGAGAGAACTTGAATCACAATAATGGAAGAATTGACCCTGAGACTTCAAGGAAGAAACATAAATGACCAAGGACTGACAGTAGAAACTTCATGGAATTTATAAGTAGAATTGTATACATGCAAATTGATTAAAAAATTAGCGGTGAATATAAAGATCAGACAGAAAGACAGCTTGTCTTCCAGAATCAATCAGAAATGATAAAACAGGGACTTTGTTTATATGCCTGGACAGGAATAATTTATGCTTTATCAGATAATCATTATATTTATAACCTCATCAGAGACACAAGAGATAGAGAGGGCTTCCCAATTCCTGAATAAATGTTTAGAAATAAACATTAGCAAGAATTTGGAAGAAGCTTTCAGGACAGGAAAATCTCTTTTAACCACTTGTGCCTGGCTCCCCTAGAATGTCCACCTTCTCTGTTTTTACTGGGGCAGTTTTAGCATCTCAGCTGTTGGTTAATATTTTTCCAATGAAGAACTCATTTTCTTGCTTATGTGTAGGTAGTATGGCCTTATACTACTTCACACATAATCTTAAAATATTCCTCATCATGTCACATACTGGAAGACACCACACCCTCCTGAAGCTTCAGAATGGCTGTAGGGGAAAGGAAAAAAACTATAGGAAAAACTGGCAAAAGCAGGTACTTCGTTTTTTTTGTTTTGTTTTGTTTTGTTTTGTTTTTGGTTTCCTCTTAAAGTTTTTCGGCTGTACGAATCCCTGACCAGCCAAAGAAATTTTCGAGGGAATAATCTGGGAAACAGAGGGTAGAAACATCTTGAGATATGTTCCCCTATGTAAGACAAATGTTTTCCATTAAAGTTTTCTAAATAGTCTCTTGAAATGGGGACACACGTCAGGCTAGCTCTTGCCCAGGTAAAGCTAAGCCTGCAGGGGCCTGCCCTAGGCTGTGCCCAACAGACACAGAGGCCATAATCTTGAGAGTTATGTTTTAGTTTGTTTTTAGAAATTCCTTCTTCACACATTACCTCTAGAACTTTCTCATTTTTCAGTTCTTCTTAGGTTATTTTTAGAAATTCTTTCTTCACACATTACCTCTAGAACTTTCTCATTTTTCAGTTCTACTTAGGGACAAAGAGCACCACTCAGCTGCTGAATTCATTTAAGAAGGCAGGACGGCAAAACAAGCTCTCTGCATGTTACCTCTGGGCATATTGTTGCCAGGTCTGTGGTTTGTGTCTAGAAATTTGACCAATGAGTTGAGGAACATTTTTCACCCCTTTTCCCACTCCTTTCCTCTTCCCTTTTCCTTCCCTTCACTTCTCTTGCTCTCTCTCTCTTTCTCTCCCTCTTTCTTTCTCTCTTTCCTTCTCTCTTTCTCTCTCTTTCTTTTCTTTTCTTTCTCTCCTCTCCCTCTCTTTCTTTTCTTTCTTCTCTCCTCTCCCTCTTTCTTTTTCTTTCTTTCTTTTTTTTTTTTTTTCCTGGAGAAGAGTGGTTTAAAAGGGAGTTGAATATAACAGAGCACCTCATTATTTTCCTTTCTTTCTGTTTGCTAACTAGGAAAGTCCATAAGCTTGATAATGGAGGAGAACAATGACGCCACGGAGAACCCCCAACAAGGCCAAGGGCGGCAGAATGCCATCAAGTGTGGGTGGCTGAGGAAGCAAGGAGGCTTTGTCAAGACTTGGCATACTCGCTGGTTTGTGCTCAAGGGGGATCAGCTCTACTATTTCAAAGATGAAGATGAAACCAAGCCCTTGGTGAGTAGGAGAAAATGTAAAGCATTAAGGGCCTAAGAAAGCCAAGAAATAGAGGGATTTGCTGGAAACTGATTGGGACTGAGACCACCCAAAGTCCCCCGGTCTCCTTCAGTTCATTGTCATCTTTCACCCTTTTACCCATTGTTTGCTTTGAGTTGGAGATAATAAATTTGCTAATTCAGGCCAAGAGGCAAATTATACTTGTCTAATATGAATTTCAGGTTTTACCAGAGGAGAATGTCTCAGTTCCTCTGGCAAACTTAGTTCATGAGAAAATTTTAATAGACATCTGCCAAAAGATATATTGTAGCCAAAACATCTTTCTTTTTCTCAGGAGTAAATGGAAAGCACAGGTTTGAAGGAAGAACTGTAGGCACAACTTTCAGTAATTTCTGAGACATTTTCAGTATCAATTCTCAGAGGCTTCCCTGCATACTTTAACTTACATTAAATATGGATGTGGTGCTGAACCAAATGACATTGATACATTCAACCAGAATACATAATATACCCATTCCTCTGTGAATAGTCTCTCTGTTGCTCTGTAGTTCCTTAGTGGTTCTTTATTTGCTTATTTACTTATTTTCTCAACCAAAAGTCTCAAGACTGCAATGAGAGAGAAGAATCATCTTCACCTGCATTTCTGTAGTTGCAACAGTTTTCTCAGATTGATCATGGCTTATCAGTTGATGAGAGGATATGCAAACTAAGGCATCACTTCTGTGTGTTTTTCATCTACATCTATAGGATACATACATGAGAGAAGAATCATTTTAGATTCATTTATATAAACAACCCTAACAGTATGTTCTTGAGGCTATTTCCTCTTGTGTTAAAGTTAAGGAACTTAAGTAGGAATTTGAACCAGGTCTCTGCTTTAGTATTTTAAATTCCTAAGGCATTATAATTTCATGATGTTCTTATTCCTCTAATTGAATTCCCTAAAAATAGCAATAAAAATACATGCTGCAAACCTTGGTCATTTTTTTGAAATTGCTACTACTTTTTAGGCATTTACCAGAGCTGGACATCAGGCTAAAAGTTTACATATAATATCTTATGAAATATTTAAAATAATCCTATGAGGTAGGTATTATTAACCCTATTTATGCATGAACACCAAGGTTTATGTGTAATGCAGATTACCCAAAGTTAAACAAACAGTAGTTTAATAATTTGTCTCAAGTAAGTCTGAGTTCATATGGCTTTAGCCCAAGACATTATAAGTAAATTTAGAGGGTCCCATATTGGTTTCATGACAGTTATAGTACTTTCCGTATCTGTTATTTCATCTGTTATTGTAACCCAGTGGGGAATATGGGGACTATTTTTACAGAGGAGGAAACTGTGACTTAGAGATATGAAGTGATGTAATCAAGATCATATAATCATTCAAAGATTAGAAGCAAATTGATGGAGTCTTCTGTCTCCTATCTTACCCTCCATGGTTCTTTTCTAATTGCACCTTGTTTTATAATTATCTAATAATCAGATTAAGGTATTACCTTGAATATAAAATTATTTTTACCAAACTCAGAGAAAGGAATCAGGTTAATGTGAAAAGACAGAATTTAAGGGGTCCAATGTGGGGACTTCGTTATGGAGGAGCACAGTGAATACCATCTGTGAGAAAATACATAGAGGGCCATATCCCAGGCAATATGATAATATCCTTTTTGAATAATTTAGGGCAGAATTCCTCAAACTAGAGTTCATGTGCACATTCTCTGACATTTGCACATTCTCAAATTTGAGAAACGTGGACCACAGGCTTGGATCCACTCTATCATGACTAGTTAGATTGATTAAAAAATTGGAAATATAACTTTTAAAATGTAAAAACTCCAGATTAATTCAAATGAAAATCTACTCAAAATGAAAATTACATTAATTCATAGTATTTCCAAGATAAATAATATTTTTATAATAGCATGTTACTAGTATTACTAGTATTTGTAGACTTACTGTAAATAAAATTAACAAAATAGACTTGTATTGACCAAAAAGTACTAATTCTTTTACAAACCAAACATAGACCATCACCATCCCCCCTAAAAAATGTTTTTAAATTTTTCATTCTATATATTATTTGTTAAAGATTTGTGATTAATAAAGAAGTTAAAATGTAGCATAAATAACTTTATTTTATTTATTTATTTATTTATTTTGAGACAGAGTCTCACTCTGTAGCCCAGGCTGGAGTGCGGTGGTGCGATCTCAGCTCACTGCAACCTCTGCCTCCCGAGTTCAAGTGATTCTCCTGTCTCAGGCCCCCAAGTAGCTGGGACTACATGAGTGTGCCACCATACTCAGCTAATTTTTTTGTATTTTTAGTAGAGACAGGGGTTTCACCATGTTGGCCATGCTGGTCTTGAAAGTGCTAAGATTACAGGCGTGAGTCACTGCGCCCAGCCTTGGGATAAATAACTTTGAATTATCTTTTTTAACTAACTTCCATACAATTCAAGCACTGATAATTTTAACATTGAGCTTTTTAATGTTTTGCCCTGATGTTTAAACACATGCATACAAATTCAGATTAAGAACTGACAATTTCTATATCAGAGGGAACTTTGTAATATGCAAACATTCTATGTTGTTCTATGAATGGGCTAATTTCTTCCCTTAAAATAGACCAAGTGAGGGTAGATGCCTGGTACATGGTAACTGTTAATAGCATATTTTTGAATGTGTTAATGAGTCAATGGAATGTATCTAGGGCCATGCAGCAGCAGGGCCAGGACTAAGGTACCGTGAGTAATATTGACTGTTTTCAACTCCATCTATCAAAATCATACTATTTAAAACAACAAAGTTTAAGCCACATTAAATAAGCCCTGCAGTGATATATTGTAGAATATATTTAAAAGAATCAGAACATCTAAATGGAGAATAATTGAGCACCTTGAAAAATGTTGAAAGAGGAAAAAAATTTGTCTTAAAACCTGTCATTCTGTAGTTGTGGGTTTATGATTGCATATATGTGGTTGTGTGTATATGTGTGTGTAACAGCCAAAAGGACGTTATTAATGAGTGACAGATGAAGAACTAGGAGTCAGTTTCTTGCTCCTAGATGCAGTGCTTCTTCTGCTTCATCCTTGCCTTCTCATTAGTCCTCAACTTTTCTTTACCTTTGCTTTTAGTCAGAGGTATTTCTTGTTTTTTTCTTTTCACTTCAATGCTTCCAACATAAGAATGCCCTTGGCCTTCATGTATTTTGATGAGGGCTATTTCAATAATATGGAGAAAATATCATGAGTAAAGTTTCAAAAATTCATCCTTTTAAACATTCCTAACCAGCTGGAAAGATTCAATAAACTTAACTTGCTTTTTGTTTTTTTTTTTATTTTCTTAGAAGGCACTTTTTTTAAATTAATTTATTATTATTATTATACTTTAAGTTCTAGGGTACATGTGCATAACGTGCAGGTTTGTTACATATGTATACTTGTGCCATGTTGCTGTGCTGCACCCATCAACTCGTCAGCACCCATCAACTCGTCATTTATATCAGGTATAACTCCCAATGCAATCCCTCCCCCGTCCCCCCTCCCCATGATAGGCTCCGGTGTGTGATGTTCCCCTTCCCGAGTCCAAGTGATCTCATTGTTCAGTTCCCACCTATGAGTGAGAACACGCGGTGTTTGGTTTTCTGTTCTTGCGATAGTTTGCTGAGAATGATGGTTTCCAGCTGCATCCACGTCCCTACAAAGGACACAAACTCATCCTTTTTTATGGCTGCATAGTATTCCATGGTGTATATGTGCCAGATTTTCTTAATCCAATCTGTCACTGATGGACATTTGGGTTGATTCCAAGTCTTTGCTATTGTGAATAGCGCCGCAATAAACATACGTGTGCATGTGTCTTTATAGCAGCATGATTTATAATCCTTTGGGTATATACCCAGTAATGGGATGGCTGGGTCATATGGTACATCTAGTTCTAGATCCTTGCGGAATTGCCATACTGTTTTCCATATTAATTCAAGATGGATTAGAGACTTAAATGTTAGACCTAATACCATAAAAACCCTAGAGGAAAACCTAGGTAGTACCATTCAGGACATAGGCATGGGCAAAGACTTCATGTCTAAAACACCAAAAGCAATGGCAGCAAAAGCCAAAATTCACAAATGGGATCTCATTAAACTAAAGAGCTTCTGCACAGCAAAAGAAACTACCATCAGAGTGAACAGGCAACCTACAGAATGGGAGAAAATTTTTGCAATCTACTCATCTGACAAAGGGCTAATATCCAGAACCTACAAAGAACTCAAACAAATTTACAAGAAAAAAACAAACAACCCCATCAAAAAGTGGGCAAAGGATATGAACAGACATTTCTCAAAAGAAGACATTCATACAGCCAACAGACACATGAAAAAATGCTCATCATCACTGGCCATCAGAGAAATGCAAATCAAAACCACAATGAGATACCATCTCACACCAGTTAGAATGGCGATCATTCAAAAGTCAGGAAACAACAGGTGCTGGAGAGGATTTGGAGAAATAGGAACACTTTTACACTGTTGGTGGGATTGTAAACTAGTTCAACCATTATAGAAGGCACTTCTAAAATGAGAGTAAAAAACCCTTTAAATTTATGTCCTCCTTGTCCTTGGTTTAAGTTCTCAATTTATTATAATAAATTTTCACTGAGTTGTTTTACTCAATAAAAAGAGTCAAATCAAACTCCATCATTATCCTTATTATGAAAAACTGCTCATCTGTCGAGGGAAAGTAAAATTATAATCATAACAGGCTACCCTGAAAATGCTGAATGCTATGAATACATGGGTACAATTAGTAGCAAGGAGTGAATGAGGACTGTCTAGAGGGCTTGGGAAAGGCTGCATAAGGCAAGAGGTGACCCTGACCTGGGATTTGAAGGTCGATGTGAGTTTTACAGGTAGATAAATTGGGGAAAGGAATTCAGAGCAGAGGAAAGACATGGAGTTGTAAAATAGGTATCTATAGCTAGCTCCATATTGCAAG